CTCAAAATGAGGAGAGGATAGGTTTATTTAGCTCACAGTTATTGGAGGTTTCGACACTGGAGGAGAGGTTGGGGTGCTACCGTGTCCAGAATGACCCTCACCACACCTCTAAGAAAGCATAGACTAGCCAGTTTAATAGTTTATGCCTCTCTTGCCCCACCTCTCAAGCCCCAATCTGGTCACCTGGTCCTCTGGCCCCATCCCTTGAGCTGCACCCTGCTCCTCAAACAGTGATCAACCCATGATTTATATGATGCTTTGGAGGGACGGCTATAAATAAACAATAATAGGGTCAAACCTGGGTCTTTGCTCTTGCCAGGCAGGTGTTTAGACCACTGAGCTATCTCTTCAGCTCTTCCTTATCATTTTGACTTTGAAGAACAACTGGAATTCTCATGGTCGCAGGTCTAGTGAATATGGTAGATAAGATCACACTGTAATATTACAAAATAAATTTAAAAATAAGAAAATAAGCCAAAATTGGCTTAGTGAAAGTTAACAAAATAATAGTCCTCTATTAGAGACTCCTACAATGGGCTCTAATCTTCTGTGGCAGGAAAAGAAAGAGCAAGAGGTGAATTGGGGGAATCAGGAAGGGATCTGGGACCACCTGTTGCTCTTATGGAACAAAAGGCTGTGAGGCACCCAGACTCTTGGCATTTGTTTATTACTCTGAGTTGAGGACAACAGGTGAAGGGCAGTTGGTGTTTCTGGGAACAGTAATGGTAACCATGGTGGGCAGGAAGATCAACACATTCTTTAAGAACATGGACAAAGACAAGGATGGGAGTTTCCCCAGGTACCTGTCCTCTTTAGGTCTTATCTTGCCCTATGAGTGCCACAGCAGGCATTAGACCTAGAGCTTCCAGCTGTGGCCAGAGAAGAGTGCAGAATTTCCACATTCCAATCTGGCCCAAAAGAGCAGGACAAGGACAAGCTTGGATGTCATTAGACTCAATTTATAATATGTGGTCTATAACATTTCTCCCTTTCAGTTTTTTTTTTTTTAATTATAGCAGTTGAAACAGTACATAAGCCATGAAGGCCACCATAGCAACAAACATAGCTTTAGGAGTTTGTGGGAGTCCCTGTCGCATCCACAATGTGTGAGTCTCCTTCACTGTCTCTCTAGTTGTCCTCATGTCAGGATTTTGTAGCCTGCACGAATTTCAGTGTTTACAGTTCCGGTTTTCTCTTAAGTCACCAACACTGGAGGGCTGAATAGAACAGGCTCCACCACTGGGGTAGGGTGCTCTTCACTGCCTGGTCACACATTCCAGGAGGGCAGCCATAATGGTGTCCCATGACCTGTTACCATACAAGCATACCCTCGACTCTGCATTATGAACCACACTGGGCCATCCCACTTTCCTGTTTGGATGTCCTTCTGTATGACGAGAGCCCTAGGTGTGCTCATCAGATGTGCCCTTTTGCCAGTGAAGTTCTGAGAAGGGTATTTACTTTCTGG